AAGTCTTCCAAGTGGAGTCCCATTCCACAATCATCCCACCCCTCAAGGGGCATCGTAAAGCAGCTGCCTTGCTTGCCCTGACCTACCGAGCTTTGTGCTCTTCAAAGTCTGCTTGGAGAGGGTGGAAGGGGCGTGGAGGGTGCATGTGATTTGGCATACGTGAGCGAGTGAACGAGCGAGCGAGAAAGCCCGTCAGTCAATCAGGCAGTCAGCCAATCAGCCGCCCGCCTGCCAGCCCGCCCGCCAGCCAGTCATGACATCCACAACCTACTTGCCGCCCAACGCAGCCACTGCGGGCTCTTCTTCGGGCAACGCAGCGACGAACGGCGCAGGTGGAGGATCAGCACTGTCGCTCTCCACACCTCTGGCCTCCACCGGCTCATCCAAATCCTCTCGCGTCTGTTACTTTTACGATGGCGACATTGCATCCTACCACTACGGACCCGGACATCCCATGAAGCCCACGCGCATTCGCATGTGTCACAGTCTAGTGATGCAGTACGGTCTGTACAAAAAGATGGAGATATTCCGAGCCAAACCGGCGACGAAGCGAGAAATGTCTCAATTTCATACGGACGAGTATGTGGATTTCCTCTCCAAAGTCACGCCGGATAATGTGGATCATTTCGTTAGGGAACAGAGCAGGTTCAATGTGGGCGATGACTGTCCCGTATTCGATGGACTGTTCGAGTACTGCTCCATAAGCGCTGGCGGCAGCATGGAAGGCGCCGCTAGGCTCAGCAGGGACAAGTGCGACATTGCCATCAACTGGGCTGGCGGTCTGCATCACGCCAAAAAGGGTGAAGCGAGCGGCTTCTGCTACATCAACGGTGAGTCAGAATTGGCAGCAGCATAGATAGCCTCGTCACACGCATGCATGCACATCCTGCTTCGTGCTGTGCTCCTCGCCAAGCCCTCTTGCTGATTCGCCTTGCGCAACACGGCCATCATGACAGACATTGTGTTGGGCATTTTGGAATTGCTGAGATATCATCCCCGAGTACTGTACATCGACATTGATGTGCACCATGGCGATGGAGTCGAAGAGGCTTTCTACACTACCGACAGGGTCATGACTTGCTCCTTTCACAAGTACGGAGAATTCTTTCCCGGCACCGGAGAGTTGAGGGTGAGTAGATGGCGAGAAGATATATCTGCGTCAAGACTTGCATCGGCATGGGGACATGCGTGCATGCGCACACATACAGCGAGGATCCCGCGAGACGGTGTTGTCCTTACAGAGGGGAGAAAAAGTTCACCAAAAGCGCATTTGACAGAAGAGCAGCGTGTTCGCCTGTGCGGTATCAGATCGCCAAATGGAGGAGGTCACACTGCTCATGCATCGCATCATCTCTCCTCCTTCTCGCACCCAGGACATTGGCTATGGTCGAGGCAAGAATCACAGCGTGAACTTTCCGCTGCGCGATGGCATTACGGACGAGTCGTACAAGTCGGTGTTTGAACCCGTCATCACTCAGATCATGGAGCATTACAGACCTAGCGCGGTGGTGCTGCAGTGCGGCAGCGATAGTCTTGCGGGCGACAAGTTGGGCAGCTTCAATCTGAGCATGAGAGGTGAGTTGTTGCACGACGCGGCCTACTTGGTGGCAACACTGCAGGCTACTCCGGACCGGCAATCTTGCGATTATTGCCAGCGAGGGAGGCAGCTCTGCGTCACCCACATTGACATCATCACGATGTTTTTTATTATCGTTCCTTTTCGTCTATGATCTGGCCGTACAGGACATGCGAATTGTGTATCTTTTGTCAAATCCTTCAACTTGCCCCTGTTGCTGTTGGGAGGTGGCGGATACACCATCCGAAACGTGTCGCGAGCTTGGGCATACGAGACGGGTCTAGCAGCGGGTCTAGAGCTGGGTCATCGTGAGTCACAACAAACCGGGCCGCGAGAGTTGCGCTTTCCCGAAGCTGAAGCCTTCCCGTTCCGGCGATTTGTGCTTGACGTGTGGCGCCCCGAGCAGAGGTGCCTGTGAACGAGTACTATGAGTACTTTGGACCGGATTACGTGCTGGATGTTCGAAGGAACAACATGGAAGATCAGAATACGCCTGCCTACCTTCAAAAGATCAAAGCGCAAGTGTTTGAGAATCTGCGCCAGACGTCGCATGCGCCTTCTGTGCAGAGCTTTGAGATACCCAGATTAGCGCACGATGAGGAGATGGAGGATGCAAGCAAGACGAGGGAGGAAGAGGAGGATCTGAATGCGGATATGAGAGCTATTAGGCAAGAGGGATGGAAAGATGGGCATGTGCAGAGAGAAGACGAGGGCAGCGATAGCGAGGATGAGGGAATGGATTCGAGGAGGAATGAGAAGAATCACAAGGATGTCGATCAAGAGGCAGAGGAGGGGGAGAATTCGACGCGCAGAGCGAGGAGGAGGACGCCCGGCATCATGGATCCGCTTTTGAAAAGGACGGCTTTGGGAGAAGAGAGAGTGAGCATCTCTCCAAGTCCTCGGCCCACGTATGGAGTTACGCAACAGTCCGAGGAGAACACTGGCGCCGCTGCCCTCAGTGCAGCGCCGAGCGCGAGCGGTCCCTCGACGGGCCAAACGTCGAATGGGGAGAAGAGAAATGGAGAATCTGTACAGGTTGCACCACCCACCGGCAGTGGCCATGGGGATGTGGAGATGAAAGAAGCGTAGGTTCGCATTCTATTTCCCCTCCTTTTTGACCGTAACCTGTATGATTCCCTCCTTTGCCCTTCTTGCCGCTCTCGCAATCCTGCAATCGCTTTGCCGCCCCCTTGTGACTGCTCTGCTCGTGTGCCACACCAATCGACTTGCAACCTCGTCTTCTCTTTGCAACTTTTGTGCCATCGCACGAGCAACAAAAAACATAATTCTACACTCTACCCTTCTGTTGAGTGAGCCCACCCGCTTGTTCAACCTTTCACAACGTGCTCAGAACTCGCGTTCGTGATTCTGGCCCGGGGAGGTTGTGTTTTTTTATTTTATTTTATTTTTTTTTGCGTATTTAACGTCACAGCGACGCAGCAGATCGAGCCGACGTGAGCACGAAGCACGAAGCGCGGAGCATTCCGCCCACCTTCTCAGTTTTGAGTCGGTCAGCCAAACAGAAGCAAGCAAGAAGAAAGAAGAAAGAACAAAAATGGAAAGATAGATATCCAGCTAGCCAGCTAGCCTCGCTCGCAAAAATCAACAACAACAGCAAATAAAATTTCCCGCTTTTCAATTTCTTCAAATCTTTGCTTGCGACTCCGACTCCGACTCCGACTCCTCTCCCCTTCCTCCCTTCCTTAAAAAACCGGCTCTTCAGCTTT